TTAATGCGCGAATGGGGATGGGTCCGTGTTCTTTTCAGTGACATCTGGTTCTTTATACATCCGAACTTGTCTACCTGCACCTCTCTTCCTCCCTTCTTCCTTTCCTTCGTCAGTTCCGTTCCCCTCGGCGTATATAGCGTCATGTACCGACTAAAGCCTCATTCACGGTCACCGTCCTAGAAACCCGAACCGATCAAAACAGCTTTTTCACGGGGTAGCCCTCTCGAGAACGCTGGATTATCCTTTCTCTACTCTTCCCCTCTCTCTCTTCCCCCCCCCCCCNCCCCCCCCCCTGCGACACAGCAGCGGTAGTTCTCTCGCGCCTAACCATCGGCGAAATTCGGGAACCGACTGACCTGAATTCTCGCTTGAACGCCGCGGCACTCGGTTCTTGTATAATATTTACACGAGCCGATAGAAATGACGAGTCTCCAGGCAAACTAGCGAATCAGATTCGTCTCTGACGTTATGTACAATGTGTTCGAATATGATGTATAAGCATACACTCCGAGCTTTGTTATTTATCGCCACACCTGGGTATTTATTACAGGAGGTCTCGATATGTGAACGGAATGTTCTCGGAACGCGTCGTCGAGATTCGACGTATTCATTCGCCGTTCGCGATTGCCGTCACGATCCCGATTGTTTGTCCGCCCGGGCACGCTTGACAAATCGACGCGATGTGCCAGATAGATTCGTCAAATGCGAGTTCCAATAGGGAGTTACGTTTAAACCGGTAGTGGTAAAATTTAACACACTCGGCTAACGCTTTCCAATCGAAGTCGCTAACGGGTCCGCGCTCGCATTAGAAAAATTTCCAGAAAATATTATTAACAGCCTAAAAAGCGATCGCGAGATTTAACCCATCGCGTAACTTGATAGATATACCGATATGTTAATTTAATTTATAATCGCACGGACGTCAAAACGAGGAATATATGCTTATAAGGCGTGTATCAGGATAGCATAAACTTCAGCGCTACGTGCGTGCATGGTTAACATCGAGTATTATTCCATGTTATTTTTATCATCATCGGCAATGTACAGCCCCACGTCGCATGTGAATTGGGCGGTCTCGAGTTTCGTAACAGCTTTACGATCGTCGATAAAATTATGCAACGTAATCTAATACGTATCTCGTTTCGCTTTGTCGCTGACGCCGGCCCAATGCGTAGTTTCGGTTGAAAACACACCAGGCTACGGCGAGTAAACAGAATCGACTCTTTGCGATTTATTGCGTATGACCGCTATAACTATTCAGAATGCAGAAACAAAAAAGATATTTTACGTCGCGTTTCAACAAATTTTATGTGTTTGTCTTATCGTAGTTCTAAGAGGAAAAAAAATATAGAGGTAGAAAAGAATTGTATGACAAACGTTTTGAGCGAATAAAAAAATGTATCATAAAAAAGTTTATATAGCCTTTATAAAATTTGATTATTAAAAGTAGTAATGTACACGGAGAAAGAAGATTGGTTGAGTTAATGTGACAATGAACGAACCGAACGTGTTCTCGTTTGAAGGAAACATAATTTCTTGTTCTTACGGACTAAAATTGCTTCTCAGAACCGGAATTTTGTTCAACCAAGACATGTTCAGTTTGTTCATTGTCACATTAATTCAACCAATCTACTTTTTTTTCTGTGAAGTAACGATGAAATAGTTGTTAGCTTATGAATCATTCATTTGGTAGCCTACTTTACCGAACACTTCATCATCAAGTGGATTTGTCATATATGATTGTATCATCATATATAATAGACATATGATAGATATATGACAGAACGAAAGATATTGGCTCACATATAGAAGCGATTTCTATCAAAACTTGATGTATCTCTTACATTAACTTCAATTACGTTATAGATTCGTTTTATATATTATATAAAGATTATATGACACACATATTTATATAAACAAGTATATCATATAATATATATTTATATAACATATAAGATATAACTCAAATAGTTGGAGAAAGCACATTATCCTGCGGCGTGCATTTCACTCAAGAAATGTTATCTGACACGTAATCACTCTGGTGTTAATAGCAATACTGAGAGGCTCGACAAGACTGCTACCGGGGAGAAAGATCACTAATGCACCCGTTTAGTGTATAATTAAAAATACTTTATATAGCACAATAAACGTCGAAAGAAATCTCCGTCGTTAATGACGCTTCTTTCGCAGATAAGCCAAACGCTCGATAAGCGTAACATTTGCATGTTAAATCAGAACGTTGTTTGTGCAACTCTCTCGCTGACACTTGCGATAACACGAGTTCGCGAGAGAGTGAATCAAGCAATGACAGACGACCGACGCTCCTCCGATTTATTATCGATAAATGCATTAACGTATTTGCAGATATAAATTTCTCGACAAATACTAGATATAACCTCTGGTTATCTCGCACTAATACAGCTGTACTTTATCGGTGCTCGATACACATTTATTTAGTTCTATCTCCGTATTTTGTTGTCGTCGTCTAGAAGCTATCTCTATCGAACAAAAGTGTCAAGGAGTGACTTTCGTCGGTCTCTTCTTGAAATTTGTGGCCGGCAACATTAAAAGCAGTGCCTATGAGACGAGTTTTGGTGGAGCGATCGCAACTTGAGCTAGAATTTACATCTAGAGAAGTTATACCTGGCTTATAGTCGCGTGGGTCGTCTTATACGAGTTTCTACAATGTGCAATTAGCATAAATCGAGATTCCACGAAAGCGATTTCGTGCGGATAAATGGGCGGAATGGTTTCGTCGAGACTTATCTGGAGATATGAGATGTGTTTTCTGCGGTCCGTAAATATTTCGGTCATGACCGTGGATGTACTCATGACTGTCGAATTTGCGTTTACCCAGGTCGTTGGATCTCGTCTAAGCATAGCGAATACTATACAGCGGATAAAAAGGATCTGTAAAGAAATATTTATTGTTTCATAACAAGGCCGCCTATCTCAAGGTAGCCTAGATTAACCGAAGAACTAAAACTAATGGTAATGTTACCCAGTGCCTTTCTTTTATAACCTTGCAGTAAGATTTCCAACAAGCTTGTTACTGAAGAATAATATTTTTAATGTCAAAGACAAATATATTACAAGATGCTTTCATGACTTTGCGACAAAACATACCGGCTTATCGATATGATTATAAGATGGCTGTTGTGCTTCGTATCTTGCATTGTAGTTGCATAGATACTTCATGGTGGACATTTATCTCGCAGCACACTTGTAGCATTTACGACGTACTTTTCGCGGGGTTTAACGACGCATAGATACGTAGACGCATAGACACGTAACGGAAAAAAACAGTGCGTAGACGCTTAAGTGGAAGGTATTGTAATATCTGTTAACGCGCGTCCGTACTGATTCATTGCCAGTGCGGAGGACGTGAAGTTGTTCACGTACACCAGCGCCGTCAAGCTGCGCGCACATAAACGCGACGCGATATGAGCCTAGTTACTTTATCGTCGTCACGATGATGAACAAACACGTCGAGAAAGATTTGGAGCACGGAATCGACCACTCTCCATTTCTAATGGAGACTGTACGTAACATAGATTATTCTTAAAAGTAATGCGCGCAGTATTATTTAAAAAAAAAAAAAACGCGACATTCTTTTGCGCGTCTCAGTCTGGTTCCGTCGCGAAAACATTTCATTTGAAAGGAGAAAATCGAATAAGATTCTGTCACGAGAGTAAAGCAATCTCACCGAAACACGAAATTTCTTATTTTAACTGTGTATGTTTGCGTACGGATAAAGTGTCGTGTCACCTTTAGAGCTTTCGCGTCACGGCTCTGTTTTCACTTTATTCGGGTTTAGCGATCTTACGCGGGTAATATATTGTGTTGTACGATATATACAACAAAATAGAAAGGTGAGCTCACGTCAGAGGTGAACGAGATGAGTGTAACAGAAATTGGCGAAATACAATAACCCAGCTTTATTTGACGAGACGAAGACGGATCAATGAACATTGCCACTTGGTTTATAGAACGTACATTTTGGAACATTAGTTAAATATACACATTACTATCTTATATTTCACACTAGCATAGAAAAATAAATGAGAAATCGGGTTGTAACTATCTGTGCACGAATACCAGACACAATGACCAACTTCAGTGTCACCGTTCCAATCAATATAGATTCAGTTCGAATTTAAATTTGAAGCTCGCTATTGCTCCTTCAGTCTATGTAACAAAGTTCGTTATCGAGCGGTAATAAACGTCTAACCTCGTTCAACAAACCGCTCAGTCTAACCCAACTTAACCTAACAAATGATATCCGTGTTAATATTATCTCGATCAATATCGCGCCTCAATCGATCGAACACATTTGGCTAGTCCATTCATCGCAAGCGAAACGTAATTCCGCGATTGCCTCATACTTACTTGATTCAATAGTTCCGCTGGTAAGATTCCGGATACGAAACAAACACGGGGCACAACTCTTGGCGTTACCCTCGCGCGACGTTAAATTCGTCCGGGCTGCTTCGTATCGCAAAACGTACACGCACACACACGCAGGTACGCGCATACGCGCAGAACGCGCGTATATACGCAAACGGCCTCGAATTATATTCGCAGGGCTGCTCGGCCGGGTTCGAAAAGTAAAACGCGCGTCGCGTATGTGCAGCGCGGGTACGTGCGTGTGAGGGAGCGAGACGCGGCGAGGAAACGAGCGAGACGGAAACAACGCGGTACCGTCGGTCGCGCGACGGATAGAAAGAGACGACGGGCGAGAAAGAGAAGGCAAGCGGGCGTAGCAGGGAGCGGCGGCGCGAGTGCGAGGGAGAAAGAGTGATACTCCGGCCGCAGAGCAGCAGCATGCGCCCGACGGAGGGACGAGAACGGCGCGCATCGATTGGCGCGCTAGCCGTGACCCCCACCATGATGCTTTCGCTTTCACCCAATGGGGCCTCACTTTCGCGCTCGCCCGCGTTCGGCGCCACGGCAGCCGGCACGCTGTCGTCGCCGGCTCTCTCAGTGACTGGTGCACCCTACGTGCGAGCGAGCGTTTTTCGTGGTGGGCTCGTCCGTCTCGTCGGGAGAGTAGAAAGAAAAAAAGAAAACGGAAAGAGAGGAAGCAGTAGGAGGGAGGAGGAGGGGGAGAGAGAGAGTGAAGAGCCTCGGTGTTGTGTGTAATACAACGTATGTGCTTGATTCGCTCATAGACGCACCGTCGCCCGTCAGTGCCGATTTAAATCGTGGCGTAGCCTCGTCAGAAATCGCGACGCGCGCGCGCGCGCCTTCCATCGGAAATTGCGCTGCACGCCGGGCGGCGCGTACCGCGCCGGTGACCCTGACATTCGAGAAGCCGGCGAGACACACTCGTTGCCTCGCGCGCGCAGGAGCAACATCACGGTGTGTACGAATCACGGCGAGCGACGAGCGAGCGAACGAACTGAAGCGAGCAGCGGAGGTATACACGGAGCTCGCGCGAGAGCGCGCGCGCCCAGTGCATTCTGGTACCGTACCGGTGACGATACCCGCGGCCATTACGCGTACGCCGCGCGGGACTTTGATTTGTCGCGCGCCGCGGTGTGTCGCGGTCCAGCGCAAGGTGACCTCGTTACCGATGCGCGAACGCGTCCCGGCAGGGAGCCTCTCGGAAGAACATCGCGCCGGATCGGTGTATTCTCGCGCGCCAATCGCGGTTTTGTTGTGACGCGTGACGACCAGTGACCTTGACTCCCCTCGGATAGACGCGCCGTTTCGGCGGCGCCTCGATTCCCACCGGGTGGAACGCGAGGTCGGTCTCTCCCGCCTCGACCTCTTCCTCGTCGTGTCTCCGCCGCGTGGGACGGGTCGACCGAAGATGGAGAGATAGGGAGCAGCTGGTTCTCGCAACCGTGTCTGCGCCAACCGGCACCGCCGGTTCCCTTGCGATATCTCTGCCGCCATTGCGTCTGCCATCATCGTGAGATCGTTCATCTGGAAAACCTAGAACCAGCGAAGAAAGACACACACGACCTAGACGTTGAAAACCTATGGCACCGCGCCGTCACGCCAATAGCCACGGCGGTGGTCTCCTGGAGAACGGAGGCGCCGGTGGCGGCGGTACCAACGACCCGATGGAGAACTTGTTAGGCACCGGCCAGACGACGCGTTGCTGCACGCCGACCGGCGAGTGCTTGCGCGGCGACAGCCTCATCCGCCTGAACTCCTTGCACGACGCGGTCAAGGTCACCTGCAACAACGACAACTGTCCGATCGGGCAATTCATGCATCGCGAGTGCTTCGACGCCTGGGAGCAGACGGTTCTGACGTATCTGAAGAGCTGCGGCCGGGCGCGCAGCTGGTCCGAACGTCAGCGTCATCAGAACCTCTGGACCAAGAAGGGCTACGATCTCGCGTTCAAGGCCTGCGGCTGCCGCTGCGGTCGCGGCCACCTCAAGAAAGATCTCGACTGGATGCCGCCCGGCCTCGGCAATATACCCGGCAACCGTGCCGACGAGAACGAGGCGAAGAAGAAGAAGCGGCGCAACCGGCAGAACACCCGGCCGAGCCTGTCTGTCTCCGCCGGGCCGCCGAGTCACGGCAATCACGTCGTCTCCACGAGCGGTCGCGGCACCACCGAGGCTCAGATGATCGAGTCGGGCCGCGGTAGAGCAGGATCCCTCTCGTCCAGCACCGGCTCTAGTTCACCGCCTGCCACCAGCGAACCCAGCGTCAGCCCGCTTCACCAGCCGCAGGCCATCATCAAGAAGAAGAGCAAGGTCGATTTTTTCAGCGATCGCGCGAGGTGAGTACCATTATCGTTCATTGGCCGATAACGGGTTCGGAGGTTGAGCGCAGGGTTAATTGTTGAACGATACTTTAGTGGGCACAGCGCAATTTTTCGGCAATATGTTTGCGATGCCGCGGTATCGCCGGTATAGATTACTTTATCTTATTTGCAGCGCGTGTATCATTACAGCTTGTAGTTGCTCAATCATTCCGCTCGACACGATACATTGTTGATAAAAGCGGAATTTATTGTCGGCCGTGAGATCGATGTTGCTGAAATGCGAATTTCGCGGAACGCAGAGATTTTTCAATAATTGCGCCTTCGCGAACGGCAGTCTAGCGCGGTGGTATATCGTATTTGGACGCACACACGTACAATCGTTGATGAGAAATTATCGGTGGAATTTCGAGCAGAATGCATAATGCATAAATATTTAAATGCAGGACACATTTAAATATTCTGTTGAAAATTGTGCATTGTGAGAAGTTAAAAGATCACTCGAGCTTGTTTCACGCAAATGTTTGCGAGAAACCTCACTGTAGCAAAAAAGAACCAGCAGGTAAATACTTCGGGAAGAATGATAAATGACAAGGAACACGCCGTGAGTTGTTTTCCCGTCGGGAACCTTCGTCGCGTGTCATTGTGTAGGTGTATTTTCCGAGACAGACGATACCTTAAAGGAGACGCGTGAGAATAGAAATCGTAAAGACGCTATTAGAGCTTTTCATTTAAGACATTCACGATTCGTGAAACCGCAGAACACAAAACCTGGTGGTGCGGAACTTGATAAATGCGTGAAAACGTCGTTTACTGTACAATGGGTCATAACATAAAAACTGGGCGTGGTCGGCAAGGTATCGAATATGTTTTTCTCGCTAACATCAAGACTTTTTGCAATGTTGAAACAGCTATTACAAAAACTCCTGAATATCGAAAAAAAATTTGAGAATTCGGAAGATTTTTTTATTTATAAATAATAAATTTCTATGTGTGTCTATATATATTCACTGCTCGAAATAATTAGAGAATTACGCTGAGCAATTCTGTTGTTTAATGTTACTACTTGAAGGGAATATGAGAGTAGATTGCTAAGATATCGTATCTCTATAAATATGTTCACGCGAGACTTACATTTGACGCTAACAGAAGTACCTAATGATTTAGACCACCTATTATATACGATATAGGCGTTTGAAGAGGTAACTGACTGATTGTTTTGAGCTTTGTAGAAATCTGGATTTGGTCTCGACTTGCTACCTCGTTCCCCCTTACGCAATCGTTCCACCGAACTACAGCTAACCCATCGGTCGTCTTTTTTATGACTTTGTCACTCGCGTGTCGTGTTTATGGTTTCCAAATATTTAGGTAAGAGTATGCCACACAATTTTTGTCGCGGCAGATGGTGCCCAAGCGAAGTGATCTGTGCGCTTGATTGTCGAGATCAAGGACAAGGCGGTATCTTTAAAGATACGAGAAAGGGAAGTTGAAAGGCCTCCGCTGAGGCTGTGTATACCACCGACGTTGACGTTTACGTTACGTTGTGTGCGCGCGAGCGTACGTTAAAATATCTCGGGATACTACGAAGCACGATGTGATTCGGCACTTCATAGAGACGAATCGATCCCGATTCGTCGCTCCGTGAAACTCGACACCGAGGATTTTTCCAAAGGCCAGAAATGCCGAACTCTCTGCGCTACACTTTCAAGTTTGACGACGATCCCAACCGCCGGAAATAATTCGCTCCTGACTTTAATACTAATCTTTATTCGTTGCTTTGATGAAAGAGACGCCAAGTCAGTTTACTCGTTCACGCGAAATATACTTATTATAATGCGTTATGCCTACTAAAACCTATAATTTTAAGAACATGTATTTTGCAAAGCGCTATCAAGACGGCCATGAATATTTAATATTTTTCGAATTTACATATCGCAAAATTGCTTCATGCGCAATATTACATGATATGAATATTTTTTACACTTTATTCAGTCGTATCATCTGAAAATAAACTTGAAAGCAGATTTTGTAGCGATTTTTAAAATTACCTCCCTCTTTCTCTTTACAAGACAGAATTAAGTTTCGCACAGAAGTTCTAAACAGAAGTTGTATCGCGACTGTTTTCGACATCGTGAAATGCAACTTGTTACATCGTAACTTTGTCTTTTTACGCGACGTGAGATTCGATTTACGTTCGACGGTATATTCCACGCGGTGGAAATAACAGAGTCGCCTCGTCGAAGGAAACGAAAAGAGGCGAGCCGATTGTTCCGTCGTAAAGCAACTCTCTAGACGCGCGTTCGAGAGGGCATGAATGAACGCCGGCCCGTTTTCTCTCGCTGCGCGTAGGTCGCTCTAGAAGTTGTGTGCCGGCTGTGTGTACGCTATAGGTTGCTCTAGACCTCTGTTAGAGAGCGAGAAGACGAAGGGCAGGGAACACGACGATTACGACAGCGCTCCACCCATAGTACGCGCGCGCTCCGTGTATGCATCCTATATATAGATGCAGCCTTGGAAACCTGTCCTATTTCTGTTTATGTTCCTCCAGTTCGACGGGTCGGGAACCCCTCGTGATGCCTCTTCGCTCGAACACGTTCAATTTTTACAGACTTCTGACCTCCCGTCTGTTTGCGCGATTAAGAGTCTCGCGATGAATGCAAAATATCTTACTAAGCGCAGCTCGCAGATAAGTCCAGACGAGACAAACGCGAGATGAAACGGAAAAATATTCCGCTCCAGTCAACTAAAGATTTTTGAAATCTTTAGAAAGTCCTTCGACTCGACGATCCGTGACTTTATAATTGGCTATTTCAGATTTATTTCTACTCTTACTGTTTGTCTTTATATGGTAAAGTGGAGATTAATATGATATGTATGATATGTAAAGTCTTCTCTTAAATATGAAACGTTATTTAAATGTTATTTACAAATCCTAAACTTTATTTTTTATAAGCTCCTTGTGAATTTTGTAGTATAATGACGGTGTTGATGATATTTTCCATTCAATTGCACACCGTTTAAACATTCTCTTTGAACTTTGAATATTATCACATTATTGTTAGAAGCGTGACGTCGTATTCGAGTTAAACGAGTAGGATCGTTCGAATGTAACTGTGATGGCGAGATCCCGAGTTTCGGATCCTAGTTTCGTTTTCGTTCTAAACGTAACCGGGCGGGACCTCGGGGCCGGGTGCACGTGCACCGGGAGATACAGCCGGCGAGTTTAGGTTGTTCGCGCGAGTAGCGGCCGGGACTCGTTGTACTTTGTTGTGTGCAAGCGTGAGCGTTGGTCGACACACGAGGAGAAGAAGGAGAAGAAGACGAAAGGGAGAGAGAGGTTGGGAGAGGGGGGGAGGGGAGGAGGAGGATGCTTGTAACCTTGACCGTGGCCACCTTCTCAGGGCCACCGAGCGAGGAGGAGCCTGAACGCTCTAGCAGCTTCCAAGGCCAACAGCATGGAATCACGCCACTGCGATGCATTTAAAGAGGTAGAGAGCGTCGTGTGGATGCTGCTAAAATCCGCGTTCGGTCGCCCGTTTTCCTTTCTTCGCGTTCTCATCGAAAAAATCCTCCGTTAACTTCTGTATCCGAACTGGATAAGTGCCTCGCAAATGTCTCGAACTTGACCCAATACTCCGTGGTTTTTTCTACCTCGGTCGGGGTTCTTCGCGGTTCACGTGGTATTTTTTGAGGATTGTAATTCTCGTTTCTTCTTATTTTAACGAAAACCACGCTCGACGGTATCCGTTTACTGCGAGGATAGTTTGCTATCGTGAATTTCACGGATCCTGGCAAAGCTGAGAATTAATTATAGCCAGTTTTTCAGATGTCACATAATAGATTTTTTTGCGGGCGCTGCAACGGTTCTTGACGATATAGATTTCATTAAGGCCTCCGTTCGCGACTTAACATGTAGAAGTAGATAATATGCGATGTTGCGCACTCTCGATGCGATCCCATAATGCACTTATTGTGTTATTTGTAATCTCGCTAACGTCACCGGTGTAAATGAGTAAAATTTCGCAAGCCCGTAAATTTTCCAGGCGATTTTCCTTTGTCCTTTGTTCCAGTCCTCCTGACACATTCGCCGCGTTTTATAGCCTCCAATTAAAAGGAGGAGCCACGAACGAAGCGTAAAGGTGAATTCACAGTTGCGCGGTGCGTGCTAGGCGCAAGTTTGGGATCCTCTCGATACTCCGCGCGACTATGGATTAACCTTTAATCCTAAATCTCGCGGGCGGTTGCCGCGGTATGGCTTTGTCCGAATTCAGGGACAACACACACGTAAATTACGAATTCTCAGGATCGTTATAATGCGTATAACGTAACAACGCGCGAGCGGGAGAGGGCGTAAAGACCTCCGCCCGTTGCGCAATATCAGGGCGCTATTCTCGGAATTGTTGCGCCAATTTATACCGCGTGCGCGGTTGTGGCTCCTCTTTTTTCGGACTTTTGTCTCCCCCCCCCCCNCCCCCCCCCCTTCGTCCTCTCTCGTCCTATCGATGCCTCTACACCGGCTATTACGGACATCTTTGGAGTCGCCACGCGACCTATAAATTTCGCTGTTGCTGGTGCGCGACGAGCTACGAGAGGGCTCGGATTTTAACTGAGAATAAATCGCGGACGAAACGTTCCGAAGCTATTCGGAGACGTTTACTCCCCTCGGAAAGCTTCCCGCAAATGTTTCTCTCTTGCGACATCTTTCATGCCCAAATATTTATTGGGGGCGTATCGGACAGTTTTCTTGCGAGCTTATAAATTTCATCTTTATTTCACTGCACTCCTATTTATTCACGATTCAATGGGGTCGTAATGGAAATGTTAGAGCTTTCGCAAGGCTGTTCGAAGAATCATGAAGACCATCTAGCGAATCCAATAGTCCGACTTCTGTATTTAATTATAGCGAAGTTCTCTATGTATGAAACAGATCAATTATTCGTGAGAAAAAAATTCAGGAAAGTAGCTTTGAAAATATTTTGAAAATTCTGGATGAATTTGTGCAAAATTAATATTATTAA